GGCCCCTTTTAAAGCAGTACAATCTGCATTAATGACGCCCCGGAATTTAGGCTTACTTGAGGCTCCCTGCATGCTGGACATAAGGAAGTGCTGACATGATGGAAGCAAGTGCGGAATTAATTGATACATATGTAGCATAAAATGTGAGATGCTTGTCATAAGAATTGTTTATTATAGAGCAAATGAAGGATCTGGAGAATTTTATATCCCTATAAAATGGTTATAGTGAATTATCTTCAGCCTTTGGTCACTAATGTAGTGCAGTGTTGTAGGCCAGCGAGGGCTAGTGGGCCGAACATGGACTTCACACCACGTCTCGGAATCGCTGTCACCGTCCAGGTTTATTTTACTTATTTATTGCTTATTATACAAACCGTAAATACCATTCACATTAAAATACATCCCGTATGTCAAGCGCATCACCTAGATGATAATTAACAAGGAGACGGCATCGCTCCAGACGGTTTCTATTTGCCACTAACTATCCGCAACAGTAATGTAAAAAAACAGGAGGGAAGGAAGGATGGGAAATAAACTGCGATTGGGGGGGGGGGAGCAATTACTGAAGATACATTAAAAAGTGCGGAAGCAGGGCTGTTGTGAGCCCAGTCACTGATATGTTTAAAGATGTGATTGATGAAAGCCTAACCCTAACCCTAACCCTAATCCTAACGCGAGCAGAGGCCTAGCTGCAAAGCTGCAGCCCAGTCACTGAGATGTATCAGTTTAAAGACGTGACTGATGAAAGCCTAACCCTAACCCTAATCCTAACGCGAGAAGAGGCCTAGCTGCAAAGCTGCAGCCCAGTCACTGAGATGTATCAGTTTAAAGACGTGACTGATGAAAGCCTAACCCTAACCCTAACCCTAACGCGACCAGAGGCCTAGCTGCAAAGCTGCAGCCCAGTCACTGAGATGTATCAGTTTAAAGACGTGACTGATGAAAGCCTAACCCTAACCCTAACCCTAATCCTAACGCGAGAAGAGGCCTAGCTGCAAAGCTGCAGCCCAGTCACTGAGATGTATCAGTTTAAAGACATGATTGATGAAAGCCTAACCCTAACCCTAATCCTAATGCGAGAAGAGGCCTAGCTGCAAAGCTGCGGCCAGATTGCGTACTTCATTAGCCAATGTTATTAGCCTGCTGCTTCCGTTTGTTAGCAGCAATTGGTGATAACGCAAACATCGTAACGAGCGGCCGCAAGCTCAATGACGACCACAGCCCCGCCACTCCCCCCAAACCGGGTCACCGAGCTGCCATTACCTAACATGCTAATTACGGTAGATGAGGGGCCCGTTGTCACTCTGTCGGACTGGGTTAGCTTACATGTCTATGCTATAACATCAAAAGAAACAATACTTCAGGCAGCACAGAAATTATTTGATTAACGACTTTTATAACAATCCGTTTCATAATAAGTAGTATCATCAATACAATATTGATTGTTTCGGAATAAGAATGAAACTGATTCTATTTATTGGTACTATTTATTTGTACTATTTTAATATAAAGTGATTATCCTACAACTGTAGTCCTAAAAATAATAAAATAACCCCCAAATGACTATTTAAAATAATAATTAAAATAGGTCTTTTTTGAGAAATTAAATTAGTTTAAGGAATATTTCCTTGCTTGTCTTAACCAGCACAATAAAGATATTAGTACAAGCTCTTAGTACATGAATTTTAGGAAATAAGAACATAAGATCTTATGTAAATAATACATGTACAGGTGCTGACAAAAATGAGGGAGGAGAAAAAATAGGTTTAATTTAGTCAGAAATGCACTTGAAAATCACCATATCCGTCATTATCTTCCTGGGAGTCACTGCAAAAAACTGAGGGGCAACAGAGATTCATTAAAAGGCAGGTTTGCGCAATGCCTTGGGTGCGTGACTCTCATTGTTAAGCAGGGAAGGCAGGTAAAAGCAGGGCATTCATCACTGCACAGACAAATGACACTGGATTACTAGTTAGACAGTATAATGAGTACCATCTAATTTCCTCTTTAGAATCAATTTATGTTTCAAAGCCTGGGATGATCACCAAGGGACATCGCTTTCCCTGGGAGGAATTAAAGAGTCAAAAACCACTTTTTCATAAAACATAAAACTAGCAGGAGACAAATGTGTGGTGCAGAATTACTCTTTGGTTTTTGATAATGCTAAAAAGTGGCCATAAACTATGAAATATGACTATTCTCCTCCTGCACATATATAAGGCTATATAGCTTTGATTATCTGTGTCCATTACAAAAATGGACCAGAGAAATGTGCTGGTAATGGATTCTGTTATGTACTAAAAACACTGGAACCTAATCCAGGTTGAGACATTTTGTCTAAAAATCTTTCATTCATCTTTCATTCAGGTAACTAAGACTTTAAATGTACTTCTTGAAGCAAATAATTTAAAAATTCAAAAGTATATTTAGTAATGTATTACAGAAGTATCCTGTACTACATGAGGCAAATATCCAAACAGCTTTACATTCATTTTCATATAAACTTTACATACATTTTCATATGAAAAACTTTGTATGTAAATGATCCTAATATTGTTTCCATTTATGTTTTCCCTACTACTTGCAAAGACATTGACGTTGTCGCCCGACCGCAGTTTTCGGTAGTTCAGAGTCGGCCTCCTAGAATCCTTTGCGGTACCACATGTCTTTAGAAGCAGACGCCCCTTCACAGCGGCACAGAGACTACGGTGCACGTCCTCCAACCATTATCTTCAGCTACATGTGTCTGGCCTGAACTGGATAATAGTTCCAAAGAGACACGCAGGACTCTATTTGAAGTCAGAACCAAACTGACTTATGCCCAAATCAGTTAGACAATGAGCATGCCAAGGCTTCAGCTCCTCGTTTTACCTGGGGAGGGAGGGAATCAACGGATGTTCATGTGATGCTTCTGGCATGTAAACAGAGGACACGGCTGATCAACTTTTGCAAGTTGTCAGAAGCAAGATATATTTGGAATAACTTGACTTCCCCGGTTCTTACAGCTCAGATCAAACAGCTTTCCCTGAAAATCTCCTGCAAGTCAGTCTAACAGGTGAAACCGGTTAGACTTCCTGACACCAAAAGCAGAACCTCAAGGTAAATGTCAAAAGGTTGTGCTTCCACAATCAACACGTGCAAAATTTCAAATAATCCCATACAGGCCACAAAACTGAATTTGGGGGTACCTTAAAATAAGATCCTGCAAGCCTGAACCTGAAGTGTGAACAATTAAGCTACCAGGTCCCCTGCTGTTATCTAGTTATTTGTAGAGATTGAACAACACAGATTTACTCACAAAATCAACAGTTTAAATATGGAGTCATAGTTCTGCGGCTGAGTATAAAAAGTTACGGATTAAAAAAATGTATTCACCTATAGTCAATATCACCAATATCATGCATCATGGAATTTATAAGACAGCAAAAAAGCCACAAAATAAAAGAAAAGACTGTCATTCTAGTTCAACAATCCACATCGACAACTGCCCAGCTTTGTGGTAGGGGGGTCACACTCGGACAGAAAGTCGCTCTTTGTGAGTTTTATCAGTGAAGTATTGCAAAGTAGGGGGGTAATCCACTCCACATCACACATCCTGCCGCTTTAATCACCTGCAGGGAGTGTCGCTTTACAGCAGGTTAATGGCGCTGAGTGTGCCGGAATTACCCATGGCAACAGTAAGACTGGGAGAAGAAAAGACAGGAGAAGGAAAAAGAAACAAACGGTGACCTCCAAAAACTGTATACACTGGCAAAAATAGTTGACGAAAGTCCAGGTGACCTTTTTGTTGCAACTGTTGAGTAAACGAGTTATTTATAGAGGCTTGGCTATAAAGATGCACTTTTACACCTCAAATCTAACTACCTGTCATTACTTCCTTCATTACCTATTATGACATCATAATGATTATATCCCTAGATAGCCAGGCTATATTTGTACACTACAGTACTGTAGCTTATAACTGATAGCTTTCCTATTTGGTCTATTCATCTTATGCACTGATTATTATAATGTTTTCTCACCCGTTTCAGGCATTTTTATGACACATGGAAGTATGATAAATCTAACAAATGTGTCATTCTGATTTAAGTCTTTCAACACAATGGCTTTTATACCAAGGATGATCGTTGGACAAAAGCCTCTCTTGTCGGCAGTGCAATTACCCCCAAAAGTCAAAAAGCCAAGTCCCATGTATATTCAGGTCAGTAATGATCCTTTGTGAGGCATATTCCTGCACATCAATTATGCTAATCATAACCACGGTCGTTAAGCCGGATGCTCATTACTGTCAGCGTGCAGGTGACAGAGGCTTCAATCACTAACGTTTGGAACAGTGCGCTGAGCTCACCATGGTTTCCAAAGGTGGGTTTGGGTACATTACACCTGCAGAGTATGTTCCTCATCCAACCCCTTGGGCAGGACATGGATCAGCTTTGTGTAGCCTGAGGTATCCAACTGCTGCATTAAATTACTGCAAAATCCTAAAGTAGCGCAAATAAAATACACCCCCATATTCTTATAAACCACGTAACCCTGCATAGCGTATGGCTGCAGCATACAACTGGAGGTAATTTATTTATTTCCATTCCGACTGAACATTTCCAGGCAATTTCACTGGCTGCAGTGGGAGCTGTCCGCTCTCATCGGACTCTGACCTATGAAAGGCCTTCAACAAAGACGCAGTCAGTTATCTAATGTGTGAAGTCGAGGAGGACTTTCTTTCGTTTATTCATTGTTTTTTCCTTGTACAATGTTCCTTCATCTAATTTTTTGCACGTTTGCCTCCTTAGTGTATCGGTTCTTTATGGTTAAGAAAAAAAGTGATGAAAAATGACAGTAATTTTTAGTAATGTCCAACATGCTTCATTACACTGCAGTTTCATGTGACCGATACACTAAAACTAAGATGAAAATTTTACTTTCATTTTTTGCATAACAAGGATTAATTACTAACCAGGTATAATATTTCAGTTGTGCTGCAGTTAGCAGTGGTGATGTACCTTTTTTCCTCGCAGTTTTTCCTGGTTTTCTTCTCTGAAATATACGGTGCCGTACGCCAGCCTTTCGAAAGAGGACGTTGTGTGAATTGACCTCTCGTACTTCTTGTTTTTGTGCGCATGGGAAAAAGGCTGAAATCTGGAAAGGGGAAAGACATGAAATTTGAATTTTATAATAATCATTCTAATTTCAGACAATGATAAAGGCACAATCAAAGCAAATTTGTTGAGACGACAATATTTTAAAGTGCAGAAAAGCCTGACACAAAATGCATTAATATCAATAAACTTTTTTTGCAGCCATGAACGTTATGATACAAGGCCAATAAACATTGTGACACTGGATTTTTATTTAGTCTTTAAACAGTTAACCAGTTGCTGAAGTAATATAATAATATAATAAGTGCTTTAAGGTGTTTTAAAAGAAAACCATCTGAAGAGTTATACAGCCTACATGTGAATAAAATACACACAAATGAGATCAAATGAAAATGTACTGTAACTGAACCAAGTGAATTGAATTAAGAATAATGTATTCTAGCATCTATATCTAGCACCTCTCAGTTCAGTACGGAAAAGTGCAGAAAGAGTTTCCACAAAACAGCAGAAAATATTGATAATTTCCCATTAAAAATCTTCTATTAATCCAACTCTCCCGTTACTCTGAGAATAGGAGCATTCCTTAATGTTACTACTCTCACTAAGCCGCATTACAACCCTTTGATTCTAGCTAATGCTACCTGAATGACTAAATGCCGTCTTGGACAAATATTCCTAAATGTGCAGACATCTGTAAGTTTGAGATTCACACCCTGCAAGAACATGCAAGGCTTCTTAGGCTGGGACCCCCTCCCCCCCCCCACTTCGCTGTTCGTGTGCATTGTGTTGCTGGGCACACGATCAGTGTAAATAGCTGTTACTTAGGAAAAATGCCAGATGTTAATTACAGTGAGGTTGATTTTGTAAATTGCACCCAAGACACGTTGCAGGAAGGAAGATTTATCCTGCGTGGTACAAGAGGTGTCTGTGCGGGCTAGCTAAATGTCCACTGGGTATAGGCTTGGCTCATCTGAAAACAAACAAACAACGGACAACCTTGGCTCTTGCACAGACCACGCTCTGCAATAAAGCCTATATTAAACGGGCACTACATCATTTCTCTTTCGTTACATCTCGCCTTTAACCGAGGTGTCAATCCTGACCTGTAAACACCTGTATCTAATGTCCGTCTAATGCAACGCAAACAAGCTGACCCAGGACAACAATCTGCTTATCTTTTGCAGTCTAAGCTGCCACAAATATGTGGTTTAAGTGCTACAGTTTATTTTTGTAGACACACTGTGCATTTGTACTTCAAAGAAAATCAGGAGAAAAATAACTTGTATACAATAAGACTAGTTAAGCTACTATGCAGAACCACAATCTGGGAATTTTTATTTATTCTATATTTACTTATTAATTGGCAAACCATCCAGTTTTCTAGATTCTTTGGCTTGTTTGTCTTTTTCTTATCTGAATTTCTTCGCTGTACACATACTGCGCATTTTGTTCATAATGTTTAAATATGACAAGCACAAAAAACACCTGCAGATCATTTGAAAGTTAATTATAGAATAGAAAACAACAAATTCTAACCACAGATGCTAAAAAAACTGCCCAAAATACTAATGAAATCAAACAGAAATCAATCTAGCAGCATTTAACCAATAACACTGAAACAGAGATACCCATTCGTTATAAGATAATTAATTATCCTAAGGAGAAAAAAATGCTTAAAAATAAACATTAATTATAAGGTTAGAAAAAGGAAACAAAAATTTCACAAAAAGGCACTATCTCTTTAAGTAATGTACAATATCACACAGACATTCCTATTCACTAGAGACAAGTGCCTCTCCTACAAGACAGATTACAGTGCAATCCATGCTAATGTGCACATGGGATGGACATCACAGGGAAAAAATTAATGTGGCCCCAATGTCCCAGAATACACAATGGTTGTGCTGGTAGCCGGCTGTTTCACTTACTGCTTTCATTGCCTCAGAATTGCATTTTAATAGGGTAGTTTTTATTCATTCAAAGCTATTAAGGAAAGTTTGCCTTCTCACTGGGGATCGTTGCCGGTGTGGTCCATGCCCAGCGACAGCCCGTGAGAGCAGCTACCAACAAAGGGAGCGTGCCCACAGTCACGGGGCCCACCAGAAAATCACTTCTGATTTCAGAATTTAGATATTTTAAAAAGCTAGACCAGCTAAACCAAAACCCCTTCATTCATCATATTTAGGACTTGCTGTTGTTGTTCCACTTTGGCGTTTTCTGGTTTTTTTTTGCCAAAGTTCAGTTAGCCACAATCCTGATAACAAAAGTAGCATATCTTTACGTAAGGTTATAAACACATATTGCATCAATAATGAGAATTTTATTCATCCTCCATTCATTACATACTCCCAGATTAATCTAAAGGTATCCCAGATTAATCTAAAGTAGTTCCATGTTATCTACCTTGTTCTACAGCCGGACAATTTCATGTTTCCACCCTGTACATTTATTGTGATAACTTGCATAGGATATTTCAGGATGGCTTAAAGTTTTTACATCATAGCATTGCTGTACCACCACTACTCTTGGTATTGCATTTATATAATTATGATATTATTATTTTTTTATTATACATTTTTATGCATGCTTTAATTGGCACAGTTACAATTTCTCATCTATACCTTAAACAGCTCTAAAATAAAAAATGTCGAAAGATTCTAATTTGCTGACACAATGAATTGTTGCGATCAGCATAAACATCAGCACACAATACAAAATGTTACCTAAATCAGGAGAGTTACGAATACATTTTAGTCTGAGCAAAAAAAAACGCAAAAAATTATTCAGCTCTTTGAAAATTTCCAGTGGAAATTAGTGAGAAGAGAAGGCTGACTCCCAGATCAAAAGTCACTAATCATGCTGCACGGCGCCCCAGAAACCCACGTGTATAATATGATTTGCACACTAACGGCCTCAGCTATTAGCACTTGTTTTGAGCTTCCGACATTAATGGGGCGAGCTAATTTGGTGTTTTAAGTTGGAAAAAAATTCTCCGCTTAATGTATGTTGTAGGCCAAGCTAGTAATTAAAACAAATGGAGAGTTTTAAAACAGAGTTAGTACTGTTAAAAAAATTCTGAAAATTTTCTTATAATCTCCTATGGTAATTATATTCTGTGTGAACGTCAAGGTTTGTTTGCACTGGAATACTTTATTATATTTCTGTGGTGAGCAATTTATACCTGAATAGTTAATTCCATCATCTGTCATAAATCTGTTTGAAAACCTGATCCAGATTTTTACATCACACACAAATGATCAATAAAAAACAAACTTTAGGATTTAGGCTATTAGTAAGCACCAAAAATAAAATTATCTATTATACAGAAGGCATAATCCATAAACATATACCCAAAAAATGTCCATATGGAATAACACTAAAGTGATCAAATAGCTAACAAACAAAAATTACTCAGGGGACATAACTTTCATCATGAGGCCATCATTAACAGCTAGTTAATTTGGTTGGTTAAGGGGGGGGGGGGACATGCAGAGAGCAAATGAGAACTTTCATGTTATCAAGAAACATGGGTTTTTAAAGCAGTTATGTAATTCTTGCAGTATGCATTCATATGAAAAACAGCATATGATCAATTCAATTGTAGTTGCAATTGGAGTAATTGGAATTAAGGCTCAGCATAATGGAATGTTACCGTGTATGAAATTTAATTTCTACAAAGTTCCATTGTAATTGCCAGCTGCGCTCATAGAAATGGACAAACGATAAGAATAGACACTAGGGAGAGAATAGACAGATTTACGGGCAAAAGAAAACGTGGAGACTCCTCCCGTCAGCACCGAGGAAAGACTCACGCGTGGTCGATGATGCGCCCCCTCCACTCCCCTCGGCGGAGCTCCTCTCTGGCCTCCTCCAGGTCCGTGATGGAGGTCGCCACGCGCAGGGTGGGCTCCAGTGGCCGGTACCTCTGCTGCAGCACCGTGGCCGGATCACGGAAGGGTCCCTGGTGGACGCGGGATAAGGCTTCTGCGTTATGCCGTAAACCGTCCACTTCATTATTGATGAGGCCCCTGGTGCTCCAGGTGGTCAAAAGCTCTACAAACTCTGCTCGGATTTGAATTATTAATAAAACCCATTTCTCCTGATAAACTTTTACAAATGGCGGAATGGGATGATAACGCTGACTTGATGGATGGCCAGGGGCGTCTCACCTGTGAATCACGGCGAACATATATAAATTTACACGGGCAGCTGGGAGGCGGAGAGCAATTATTTATCTGCATTTGTCTGAAGAGAGAATCCCTTATCTTCTTATAATGCACCAAGAGCCCAATTTGCTTGAACCAAAAAGTCACTTTGAAATGAATAGCTGTGATGTCAAGATAGACAGGTGGCAGGTAAAAAAATCAATATTAACTTTATGAAGCTTGCATAACCATTTTATTAGTATTTTCTTAGTACTTCGTACTACGCTACAAACTTTGTGTACTTTACGGTACTATTTACTGAAATGAAATGAAATGGACAATCATAAAAATATAAACATGGCTTTCTAGAGCTGTAAAACTAACCAGCCATGATTCTTTCATGACATAACAAACAACTGCTCTCCTTCTAATTGCTAAATAGAACCATACTAACTCTAAACTAAAAATGGAATGATGAATATTGCAAAACAGCAAATAAACTTCTGCTGTAAAACCAGTCACAACTAAAGTCCATCCAGTCAAATATCTGCACAAGGCACTCTAAATGGTTAGTTTTTCTACTCTACCAGGTAGGTGAAAATAGAAAAATCTCGGTTATATCAATCGAAGTTCTCAGTGCAAGATGCAGGGAATGATGTTTGATGCATGATGATCGAAAGTTGAACTGATGTGGCTGTACTTCTTGGAACATTTAAGTCTTATTTATTTCTGTTTAAATCACATGTTTGTAAAACTGCATTTGGTAAAAAATAATTCTGAAATCGAACTGATTTCTTAGCATCATGTTTTTATAACACTATTGAATCTGTACACACATGTATTTTACAAGCTCATTTCCTACTGTGGAAAATTATGTATACATTTATGCTAGTATAAACTTCTCTAATCACTAAAGTACATTTACCACCCTTGTCCTCATCCAGACTCATCAGCTGGTTTGTCCTTGAAATCTGGCAAATGCTGGATACCGTTCATTTTTAAAATTGCAAATCACAAAACGCATCACAAAAAAAGCAGGAATGAAGGGACGGGGCCTAAGGAAAGGTGGCTCCACCGCCACAAAATGATAGAGGAAGGAAAAAGGTAAAAAAGAAAAAAAAACGAACTGATAGGTTCGCGAGGCTGAAATGTAAATAAATAATGCATCCCCTATCCACGGCTCGCTGTCTGCAAGGCCTCACTGCTTTAATGAATTCCTACTAACAAGGCACAGCTGGAGCCTGGCCGGCCCAGGGTGAAGACACTACCCCTAATAAAAAGAAATGATTCACGCCTCATTTCTGCTCACTTATGTTTTACATTAATAGAAACCAATAATAGGAACCAGTTACCATAAAAGTCATGGACCGTAAATAACACAAATGGCAAATACGTATCATCAAATACTTTTCGCAGCTGGACAAGATGACATGCTACTTTCGGCGGTGCTTAAGCGATTCTTTAAAAGCAATATGGTCCTCGCGCTGAGCTGCCTAATGACATATATTTAACTGAAGTTTATTAGCTGACAGACGTGCTTATAAGCACAGAAGTTAACTGGGCATCTAAATAATGTGAAAATATTAAACGGAACCTGGGGGCATTTTAATGATACTGCTTGCTTTAAAGGAGTTCAAATATCTTTAGCTATTATTTTTTTGTAAAATTTACTGTTAAATTTATCAGGAGCTAAAATGTATGTTAAAATGTAATAATTGAAAAATATTTAATAGACATGCTATTTTACAAATATAATCTTTAATATATCTATTCATAAGCCTTCTCTATACAAAAAGATGCACTACCGGCCTATTTGTAATACCTAGTCAATTGTTTTGGGAATTAGTTCAGTCTTTGTATCTTGACCTTGAAAACACTGTAAGCCAATGATATTTCACACCTCCTACCTCAAAGTGGCAATACAGCCTCCATAAGTATTAGCCATTAATTAGTTTTCAATAATAATATATTGCACTTTCAAGTTGTTTTGTACTGTTGCGAGGCGATACGGAAAGAGTGAAAACGTACAAAACGTAGCCTAAACCTTGTCAACTGACGTTACATACTCATTGCTTAAAAGAAAGCCAAGGCAGAGCGAAGTTTAGCATATCCTACAGCTCATAGAACAAGGGCAATTAGGCAGTAAAGCAGTAAAACAGGAAGTCAAATAGAAAACCAATAGACCAATGTTGTGATGGACACTAATTATGTGCAGTAGGTACTAGTTTAAATGTAACCTACTTTTAAATTCAGAGCTTTATAAACTTTTTAAAGAATAGCTCCCCAGTTTTTGTTGTATATGTCTCTGAACTCACAGAAATGAAAACCTGGAATGATTCACACGTCTCTTGTCAGCTTCAACACTTCATACTGTTTTTATCCATCGGCATGTCGATGACCGACCTTTTATGTCTGCTGTAGCCTAATAGGTCACACCCATCTAGTGTTCTTCGCATCCCTATGATATTTCTTGACAATCTTAATCTTCGTAGATTAATCGGACATTTGTTCATGCTGGAGAACTGCATCCCCCACCATGTTTGCGTCCGTGGATGATCGCCACCAACTCACCGCAAAGTCTTCTGGCGAAGCCATGAAGCCCTATCAGCGACTAAGGGCACCTGAAGGGCAAATCAGCCTCTGAAGCTCGGCGTGGGAGCCAGCGATAAGTTTGGTATATAACACAACATTTTCCTTTATTATCGGGCCTTTATCGAAAGAAACGAGGGACTTGCAGTTTTACCTACCGTTACGGAGAGAGTATGTAGTAAATAAATTTCTGCTTGGCCACCTTGTACGTGTGCACAAGGGTATAAGGACGAGGATACTGAGTCTCTCAGTTGAGGCAGTAAAGAGTTAGAAGAGGCTGTAGTATCTTTTGTACCCTTATATTATAGCATGAGGTTTGATACAGAAAATGGTATAGCAGAGGATTTGATATTGGACTGGGGCACAACCGAATAATTTCAGTACAGATGTCTATTCATTTGGGGGTTGGGTGAATGAATCCAAATAAAATATTGGGGGTGTCCACTGGAGTGGGACCCTCTGTGGTGCTGCAGAAGTTTCCCTCTCACCTGAGGCTTCTTGCTGGGTATCGGGGGCAGCGGCCGTGTTTTGAGGAATGTGTCTCCCGGGGCCGAGGGATCCATGGCCTGTCTCTTTTGCTGGATATCCTTGACGAGCAGGGGCTTGATGCTCTTCATTTGCAGCTCCATTTCATGAGGGAAATCTCTGTATGGGGAGTTGAACACGCCTGGGATCTGCGGGGGGTGGGGGGGCAGGGTAGTCAGAATCAGCGGAAACCAACACAGTAATCAATATGCAAACCTGGATTTAAAAAAAAAAACATATTGCAGAAACATCTAATGTTCTTTTGCTGTCTAAATTCTGCACAATATACGTGTGATATACAAAAGAGTAAATCACAGCTAAGATTCAAGTTTTATCTGCAGTTAAAAAAGGTCAATTTAAGTCTTAAAGTTTGAAAATAGTAACATGTAAATGTGCACAAAGAATGCTCTGTAATATATAAACAGATTAAATTTTAAATTCTGTACAAATATAAACTATATATGCACCTCTATATACCTGTACACTGTGCAGAATCATTAGACAAATACTATTCTTGGAGATAGAGAATGGCAACATTTACAGGCAGACTTATAACAGTGGATTCAGAAGCTTTCATTGGCCCCAAGTAGATTTATTTAGAGAGAAAATGTGACATTATTCTGTCACAAACAAAAGTAAAAGAAAAACGCTTGATTATCAGTGTTCACTGTTATTAGGTAATTAGAAACTAAGTGGATTTTTCTCTTTTCACCATCAACGGAAATAGTAATAAAAACCATTTTAGTTATTCAGTATATAAGGAATAACAAACTATCGACTGTTCTATACAGTCCACTTGCCCTGGATGGCAACCCTTCTTCCCAATGACCATCATGAGCCTGTAATCCATTGAACCAGCCAAGTTGTTGATTCGATCACATCCTACATTAGCTGAGGCAGCTAGGACCTCCTCCCAGACGCCGCTCTGAGCAGTGTACTGCAGGCCACCTTGGTAAATCTCACACTTTAAGTAAGGCCCAGGAGTTCTCAATAGGGGTTAAGTCAGGCGATGACGGGGGTCTGGTCATAATTCAATCAGCCTTCAAGCCTTTCTTGACCAAACTATGGAATGCTTTGATAAATGGGAAGGGACATTGTTGAATTTTTGAAAAGCTCCTGACTTCTTCTTGTACAAGTGTTTGAAGAAGGTATCTTCCTGAATTGGCAGTAGACCTTGGGGTTATTTTTTTCACCATCTGCAAGTCAGAAATATCCAACAAGGTCATCACTGATAACTGCAGCCCACACCATCACTCCTCTACCACCTTGTTGGTGCTTGAAGATGGTGTCCATTCAGGGGTCCATCCACCTGGTCCATCAAGAGTCATCTAATCTCCTCTGTCCACAAAACCTTTGTAAAACAAGCCTTGAGACATTTTGTGCCCATTATTGACATTTTATCTTGCGTGCCTTATTGAGTGCAGGTCATGTTACAGCCTTTGTGACCTTAGCAATGTCATGCAGCACACTGCACACTGCACACTGCACACTGCACCTGGTACTACCGGAAATTCCATTCAGATTGCAGTTTCAAAAAATGGTGGCATTTGATGCTATTACAGTTTTCAAAAGTCTCCCCTTTAATGTGACACACAGCTCTGGGAGTCACTTTGTGTCGTCTTCTCTCTACATGTTTCTTCTATCTTCCTTGGCTGTTGGCCACAAAACACTCAGTTGTACGGAGATCAAGTTTTAAAAGTTTGGCAATTTCGATGGTTTTGCATCCCTCTGACTCGCACTTTGCTATTGTGTTTTTTTTGTCTCTGTAAGGTGCTTTTTTGGCCCATTTTAATAGTAATATTAATTTGCTTAATAATTCCGCACAGGAAAGTATCTACAGTTTCCTGTTTTACTCCAAAGAGAAAGTACTCAGACCAAATACTGAGCATGTTCTATTTTTAAACAGTCTGTCCTTAACTGAAGATGTATCTGGGTTGAAACTTTTGATCGGAAGAAAAGATAAAAGCAAAATACACAATTGCCTAACATATATGCTCGCTGTGTACAAACATCCTTCAGATTTCGATTATGTCTCCAGCCTTTGAGCTGTAATACAACCATTCTCAAATTTATGTCCAATTCCATAATGTGTCATAATTTTCTCAATTGTCAACCTGAATTTCAGAATGTGACATCAACCGACTGCACTTTTTTAATAATTCCAAAATCGCATTTTCAACATTATGTATCTGTTTATTTTAAGCAACATCCAACCCCCACCGCCACGCACCCACATCTCACAAAATGGGAATCTGCAATTGCTGGGGAATTTATGTTCTAAATTGCAATTCTTTCAAACAACTCAAGGGCTTGTGGGAAATATGCGGCCGCTGTAAAAAGCCAGTCCGTCACAGTAAATGTCATGCTAACAGCACAGCTGGCAGAGAAAGAGGAACCTCTGGAGATCCTGCCGTTAATAGCTTCCCCATAACCTTCTTTTTTTCTGAGCCTCCGACGGTCCACGCCATGGCAGACATACAGGGTAGACGTCTGGTCCTTTCTCTCCGTTCTCCGAGTCTTTCAAGGCCGACGGCTTCACTTCTCCGCTGTTACAAATTGCAGGCCGGTCGCATTGTATTCTCTCACATATGTTATTTGACCGTGAGCACTGTCTCCCCCCCCCCCACGCAGAGCCCGGAATATTAATTCAGTGAAGGAGAGCTCACGGGAGAATGCACCAGTTGTTCACCAGTCATCCTTAGCATAACATTTATATTTTCAGCTGTCCTGCGTAGACACCGATCCATCATTCAACCCCACCCCCCCCACTTCGACCCTCCTATTTTCTTCTTCTGGATACATAAAATCATAACCTCTTTCATAATTAAATCCACTAAGCAGAACATTAAAATTAACAGCCATCGTGAAAAAAAAGAAGTGAAATGATAAAGTTATTTTCAAAGACTTTAGTTATGTTATACTGTGCAAAACTATTCATGAAAAAAGATATTCTACATATTTGAATACTTCGCTCCTTGTCATCTATGTGGACATTTTCGACAAAGAATTACAGTTAAAATCTTAGTTTGCCAGTCAGATGTTCGACTGTAGTAAATCAGCCAACGGCTCGATAGAAGTCATATTCCAGAAATGAAATGATTTGTTGCAGACAGCTGGATATAATGATTATTCAAATCTGAATGGCCCTTTCAGAAGTTTAATTAGGAGCAAGAGGCTTTTTCAATGCCTCAGTACTTTGTATGGAGATCTAGTGCGTTACACTTCCAGCTGCATTTGTGTCCTGGCAAAAAAATGGCACAGAATACAGCGCAGTGGGGGGTGGGCTATAATTCCAAAACTTGCTGTTGATAAAAAAAAGAGCAATGACGTTGACCCCTGAACAAAAAGAGCTAAATCTATGTCAGCTCAGCCACTTTTGTCCGGCAGAATTTCTCCTGTTAACGATGAACTGTGAGAGACCCATTCATTTCCTGGTGACAAGGTCAGACTGTGGAATAGAGAAGCTTCCCTCCACCCCGTCTCCACACAGCGGAGCCGTGAAAGAGTGAAGTTGGAAGAGGACACAGTTCCTCTCACCGTTAGGGCACCACATGTGTTTAACATACGGTACATGGCTCAGAGTATAATGTTATGTTCAGGTCGGTGTGTGTGCAAGTTTGTGAGTGAAAAGATAACCGTAAGTGTCAGAACTAAACAGCAAATGTTCAAGACTCTTATCCTCCACAGATTATGGTCAAATGGCATGCTGTCTCCTCCCCATAGGGCGGAGTAACAAGTCACCAATGATTTTTCAATTCAAATTTGAGGCTAGCTTAAGGCTGAACGCCCATAATTAGTGCAGTGAATTATAAAGCGCTTACCTACAGAAACTACAAGTCGCTACATTCAGCAGGTAAAGACACACACATACATATCTCTTACATACAGATTTACACAGGGTGACCATTAAAAAATGAGGTCCATTACTTTCTGATTGCTACAGTCAAACTCCATGTGGCTGGGCCATGATGAGCTCCAGGCCCAGCCAGTCACGCTCTTCTGGTACGCACGGGTCCACGGCTGACAGGAGAACAGAAACAGGCGAGCAGAAAGGACATGGGTAATGCCATCGTCGGGCGAGAAATGCGTAATGACTGTAAAGGCATGAAGGAGACCTGGCGAGTGAAATATCTGCCGGAGACGAGAGCTTGCTGAATCAACACTGACCAGTGCACTTCATCATAATTATCAGGACACGCTACCGCCGGGGGATTTATAAAAATCCCACTCAGCAAATCATTGCTGCTGTTAGGAGATACGCAGTGTTAACATGCTGTCACAGTCTGGCGTTTAGTAAGATATTCCACATTCAATTACTCCTAGCCGGGAACTAAAGGGAAAACGTGATCATTTGTCAGTGGTCGCAGTTCCACTTTCTGAATGGACTTTCGGCGGCCTTGTGATCCCACCCGCAGTCAGACCGCACTTCTGGCCCCCGACTCTCACTGTCAGTCTCTCCTCCTGCTTAACCGCTTCAGACGGCCTTTAAGAGACCCTCAAAACCTACCCCCTTTTAACTATATTTTTATCACGGGTTTCCATTTTCTGCTCTTAACACGGCAGGTCTTTAGATCGTCTTTGGTGGCTCGTGCCTTGGTTTACAAGGCCCCTGGTTTTTACCATATCACTTTACGGTTTAAATTTACAGGGCAACAAGTTTATACTCCAGATTTTGAATCTGTTACTTTCAAAAATTCTGGCAACTAACTGAGTGGGAATGAAAAAACTGTCCCAGCTGCTTTAGCACTTAGGCTACTGGAACTTTTGGTACTGGTACTTGCCTGGAAGTGAATGCAAAAGGAAAAGTACCAAAAGTACAGTAAATGTTGCAGTGGAAAAGCGCCCAAATTTAAAAACAATGCTTCTTTTTTTAAAAAAAAAAAAAACCTGTATACATGAATACAAGCACATAATCCTTTGCTAAATGTTTCCCAAACCTGTGAAAATACAACTGATAAAGAGTAAACATTAATGAATACACTGTATCTCCAACTATATGTGACCTGAAAAAAAGAAAGTACACAATAATTCAAAACAGTAATGCAGTTCACTATAAACGGATCAATTTTCCAAATCACGTTTACGTTCAACCTGACCTTAAGTAAGTTCAGACTTAAGTTCAATCAAAATAGAAGAGATGATGAATGAGAGGCACTATAAAACAATAAAAGCTAACAACACTGGGAATAACTAAGAACCAAGGAACACGCAAACATAATAAAATGAATGAGAGGCAGGAAAAATAATAAGTTGCATGTTTCTAGTGCCAATCTGAACAGCCACGTTAGTGGGACAGTGGAAGCTAACAAACGAATGAGAACAATGGAGGAGCCCCGCCGATTCCAAAGAGAGGCACTTAGTGAGCGAACTGGCCTCCCCTACTGGAGGCAGGACGCCGCCGCACGTACCTGATGGGTGCTGAGCAGGAAGTGCATCCTCTGGGCCTGCAGACACGTCTTCTGCTCCTCACACTCCACCTGATGATGCTCCCTCTCGTTTCGCTGCATCTCAGCAAACTCCTCCATGGTCCTCCTGGAGAAGGAAGCTACTGTGGTCACTTACTCCCAGTTTTATCAATATAAAACATAACATTTAGCTACACAAGCCTTATCTCCAGCACACTCATACAGAGGTATATAACTTAGAAGCATGCATAATTTTTATGACTAGATTTTAGCTTTAATTCCCTCACAAATAATATATATAGCACTATATATAATTTCATATTAAAATTATAATGTATTTTTCATAACTGAATATAAAAATAAAAAATGGCAAAGGCCATTCTAATGCCCAAGAGAAAAAGAGTAAAGAAATGCAGCTAATGCTCATTAGCTACATTCACAGGCTGTTTTCAATTGCTGCTTTGCTAAAGAGAGTATTAATTTTGCCCGTTAGATAGCATTATGAAACATGATGTTGACATAAAAAAATCACCACCCCTTGCTCCTACAATAGTATGTTTTTTTTCTTCAATTCACACTGGATTAAATAAAAAAGATGAATTTTGCAGAGCAGTACATCCTCTGTTTTGCTTATTAATCTGGAATATAAAGTTGGAAAAAGGTTCGCTTTTGGTTATTTCTGGTGTGTTGATGGCCAGCACCCTTGAGCTGGTGCAGTGTTCTACACGACAAACAAGCTACTTTTCTTAATCGGTTTTATTAATTGGGTTGCAATGTAGAGGAAAGCCAAACATTTCCTTCCTACACATCTTCCCTCCTCCATGTATGCCCGTGCCTTCGTACTTTAACACAAACATCATTAGCTCCAATCAGCCTGGGCAGAGCTTGGGCTCTGGTAATGCACGTGACCTTTCTGCGTCCTCAAACAGCATATTTAGCTTTCATGTCTTCACTTTAATATTATATAAGTGTACGATGACAAACGATTGTTATAAGGGCAAATGTTTACTTCTGTAAAACATTAAAAGAGCAATAAAAATTACTGTAGAATTTTACATTACTAAACCATGCAGCTGTCCTTCAGATGTGAACACGCGCATCCCAGGTGAAATACATATTTGTTTGTTTTTTTTTCCTTATAGCTGCGAGTGTGTGTGTGTGTTTAGTATAAAACTGCTAAGGAATTACAACCTCTATACTCTATAGGTTTGTAGTTAAATCATAGCAATTTAACTATATATATATATATATGGTTGTGTTTATATATATATATAAAAAATGTGTGTATTTGGAGATCACATGCTTTACCCTTTTACATAACAATATACAATAATTGTACTCCAATTTCATTTTGAATATTGAGTATATTACAAAAACTAAATAAATGTCTGGCAATTTTCAAGCACAGAATTAGAAGAGAAAACAGACTTCACATATTACTATATTCTCTAAAAACTGTCTTGGGAACAGACACCTCAACAAAAAATCATGTCATTAAGACACATTCCTTAACCAACGGAAGGTTCTGCTTATGGAATCCCTTTTACTGGCGTCCTTGAAAAGTAAGTAAAGTAGCCTAACCACTTGGAGTCCATAAATTTTCCGCATATTCCGATGAGTTAAAAGATTTGCCATGTTAGAGCGTTACAGAGAGAATTTATCTGATTAGGGTAGTAATAATTACCCAGCTGTTTATTGCAGATAGAGAAATAATTCATGCAGGCAACAGGCCATGGTGGTGGGGCTCTGCATTTAGTAAATATGCAAACCGCTCACTTCTAATTACTCAACCCAGAGGATGCCCTTATTAAGTAAAGGAACTTAAAGTGTCCTCTTGACAAGTGATAAATCGTTACTCTGCGTAAACTCCCGACGTGGAATTACTGTGTGGATCTCGGGTCCTGACTTCATTAAGATATGCAGAGCGGGAGCGCCGAATGAAGATGGACACCCGTAGTGCGGTCGGGGCCCGCCGACATGAAGCGTGCGGGGCGTCCGGCTAATGAAACCACACGGACCACTTTGTGAGGTGAGGAGATCCATCGCCGCCGGGAAGACGGAGGCGCTCCGATATCACATGACATGCCACTGGAAAATGGTACTGCTCCAGTGACCCTAAATGGGAGCCGTTAGTAAAAACTTTAACAATTTCTACTTGGAGTATGCATATGAAAACGTGGGCATAGAATCCGATAACAAGATCTCATCCTAAATGTGAAGAAATAGTGCTCATGTGACCACAGAGACCTGCAACTTAACAGGATGTTGCATGTTCAGATGATCACAAGGTTACTGGATCTCTGTCAAAGGCTACATTTATTGCACGTATTGTTATTTGTCTGCAAATAATAATGTCTGGCCTTCAGAGGGGACAGGACTCTGAATATATTATTTATATTTTTATATATTAAATTAATGGTTGTGTCTGTATTTAAGTTTGAAGAATTTCATTTTGATAATTCATTCATTTTTCTGAAACTGGTAGAGATCTTTGTTTATATATTGATTCTGGGCAAAACAGCCATAGCCGTCTTTAAACCACTGGCTTTCAGAATCCAGCACTGTTTGTCCACTCAGGGTAACTGTAAACCATACCTGGGGAAACGCAAAGTGAGGACATCACATGGCTCCTAAGTACATGTGCACTTACACTGAGGGTAACTTAAAGTTACCACTTCACTGGAAGCACATGTGTGTGGCCTAGGGGTGGCAGGCAACGTCCTCGTAGGAAACCAAAGCCATCATGCAGACTCTGCACACGCAGATCCAGGTTTGAACCAAAAACCTTGGAGGTATGATGCAACCATACTGCCCACTGAGCCATTATAGCAGAAGAAAATAACTTACATGTGACAAAACTCAATTAAGCAAGTCTCTCCTGCCTCCCGTGTGTGGGTGCACATGCCGGGCGGGTGTTGGGGGACAATGAGGAAGTCACCGGTCCAAAGACCACTTAACAAATTTACACTTAATTTTAGCCAAAGCCCTAAGATATTTTCCAGCAAAATATATTAGTGACATTAAAAATGTGACTGCGGTTGAAGTTCTTTTTTTGTCAAAAATAAAAGATGGCATCTCATTCTGCCCTCAAAGCATGCCGCAGTTTATTAATGCAAGAGCCAGCTAAAATCCACGGCAAATTTTCTAATTTCATAACATCATTCACTTGCCTGTAACCTGGGGCAGTTTTTACATTGCAGGCGAGAGGTTACCTGTGTACATGTCTACCAATTGCACACTCAGCCCTTAAATTAATCAATTCAATTTATCTTTGTAAAAGCTCGTGCAATATTCCTTGCTTGCATTTACGCTATGTTCCGCGAGCAACCTCTGATTTACAGGAGTTGTTGAAAATACCTTTTATACCTTATTTATTCATTCAAGGATTCAAATCAAGCTGACAAGTAATGTATAGGCAAAAATATTTTTGCTAATAAAATTTATTATATTTTCTTAAGGCTTTGATCATTCTTTTATTTATTTGTCACCTCACTTTTGTTCTAAATAGTCTACTATTCTACTGTTTAACAGTGCTTCATTTTTCTGAAATGGTCTATTATTATGGGCCATCATAATTATAACTTACCTGACTGGCATATTCAAAAGAGAATCACACTAAAGTGTTTTGCTGAACTTATTGTTGAAACTTGGCATTTCAATCCAACTTCAGCTACATATGTGTTAATTCTTTGGTTTCTTCATTGTGCACTTTCATTTCCCTCCCACAATCCGAAAAGACGCCATCTAGGTGATTTCATGACTATTAATTAACTCACTTAATCTTTGCACTTGTTCCATCTCATTATGCCTCATCCATTGAAAAATTACCTACAGTTACAGTTTGCATTTTTTTGTAGGTGTCTCCATAGAAACCACTGACTGGCAGGCACCTTACCTGACTTGTTCATTCTTTTTTGTTAATCCTTCCAGATATCTTTTTCTGGCATAATAATTATGTACATACTTTCGTACATAATAGCCCTTCCAACGTTTTTGTATCTGGATGAGATTTACAAAGAAAACAAAATGAAAAGGGTATTTCAATTCAATATATGTAAACAAACAAACAAACAACAACAATATCAATAATCATAATAATAATTATCATTATTATTATATATAGGGGACATACTATTAAAAATCTATATGGAACTATATTATAAAGCAAAATAAGGGTGTTGTTGGAAAGACGGACATTATATATTGACTGAAAATTAAACTCAACAAGTCAATTCATATTGAGTGATCTCTGGAGATTCCAACCAAAGACACGCATGGTAGCTGTAGGACTGTGGAATTGGCATAGAAACACTTAGGCCTAATTGACTGGTGTCAGGCCCAGATACGTGGAACATGTGTCCTTCAGACTAAGTAGGGGAATGAAGAAATCGCTGGTACAAAAAGAAAAGTATTGCCATTGATCAGCGCTCAATAGATAATTCTAAATTAAGTAATTGCTGGCTCAGAAGCCAAGTTCTTTGTGACCTTTTAGACTATTGAAATCAATGATGCATATTCTTAAATTTTGCAGCATAAAATCCAGGGACATTCGTTGACACTGTTTTCTGTCGGCTCATTTATGCCACAGCCTTTGGTAAACAGTCCTTTTAAGATCTTGCCGAAAGAAAATTCATGTCTATTTGATGTAGATCATCAACAAACAACAAAAATCTATTGTATGCAGTTATCTGCAGATTTGCTGTCTGTAAAAAAGTTTGTTTTGTGTTAGTATGATTTATCATATCAAATCCAAATATTTCATGCTGCTTCAATCAAAAACTTAAAGAGCATGCAGTTAGGAAAATAAAACCTAACAATACACAATAAACATGCATTCTTTTAATCAAAAAAGTTAAAAGAATGCCCTCTGACATCAATTATGTGAGACAATTTCCTTTTTGTTGCATGAAACTGGGGTATTTGGTAAGATAATTTTTAAAACGTTTCAACATCATTTATGTTTTCCAGCGTGTCCATCATAATCAGCTTATTGTATTATTGTATGCGTCCTCAATAAATGCGAGAATTCAGCTAGGCTTGTAAAACGTGATATCAGTTTTAACATTTTTATTTGACTAGGTAAAAAAAGTAAGGAAATGTAAAAACTTGTTTTAATGGAAGCTTCCCCTCATAAATGTGCCAAAAAGGGTCGATTTATTATCTTGGAAAATTGGTAGACTGTTAACCAAGCCAAGAAGACAGACTTCCCAAACGAAAGCGTGCAGATCAGTTATGATCATGGAGTTTATTTGGGTTTAAGTACTTAAACATACTGGCGACAAAAGTTTGTGCACAAGTAAGGTAATATTTACCCTGACAGCCATCTCATTGTAGAAATTCATCTTCATGACGAAACACTGTACCTGAGAATATAGAGAAAGATGGTGTTGAGGTACGCTGGTCTATATTCCAGTTTTCTGATCTGTTATGTCCGTGAGAAAAGAGAAAGCGTCTTTATACATAATACATAACAGTCACACAAGTACAGGGAAACAGGGTAACAGGGGAAGTCAGACTTTGTATTGAAGGGGCAGGCTCCTTCTTAATACATAATGTAGACAACTCCAGAAAAAAATCTATGGTAGTCAAGCTGTAAACTAATGGAGATATATGATCGTAAAATGCTCTCCGCTGAGTCTGATAATCAATGGGGCCCCAGTGTGGATAGACTAACAAAGGCAAGAATATTCACGCCGGCTGATGACACCCACTATTGTATGATTTATTCACTGCAGCACGTTTCAGGAGAAACTTCTGCGCAGTATAAAAGGAATTCATATTTCAACATGTCTGCTTTAATAATAACAAAATAGAGGACTAGGAGGGAAAAATGTCAAACAGACCGTGCATTCAGCCCAAATCAAACACGAGGTCGGAAGTTCGAAAGAGATTAGAAAGAGAGTCTTGTCTCCAGCCCAGCAATGGAATACATGCATCCAGATTCCCCCGTGTGCCGTTCACTTTTGTTTTATTTAATATTCATTTCAAGATTATGAGAGATGTTAGGAGTCATTTTACTTGCAAAGATCCATGTAAAGCCAGCTGCTTGTAGGAGCAGGAATGCTGAGATATTTACTTTAGATATGTTCATGTTAAACATTTGTATGTCTTTAATTCAACAAAGAGCCGTTAAATATGCTTTGCCAAGTTGCTTTGCTATGATAGTATCAGATTTATAAGCAGAAATGTGCCTTGCACAGACATATGCTAAATACATTTGTGTGCATATTTCTTATTAAATTAAAAGTCACGGTAAAGCACTTATTCATAGTAATATGATTATAATAAAAAATTCATTTACCAGAGTAATTAGATCTTATATTTTATTACAGGCAATTTTTTTAACCTACAAAATTAACAAAAACTCTTAATTTAACAGAAACTATTATTCTGTTTGCAATACAAAAAGACTGGATTTAAACTTAGTTGTCTAATATGACTGAATATATTTAATAATAAGCAACATATTTATTTTTACAATATTATAACAAAATGCCAAAAAAATGTAACTATGAAATGCAGAATATCTTTAAAATACTTCATAAACTAAACGCTCGACATGTCGGAAGGTTTTTTGTTTAGGGCTCCTGTGTTTATCTCTTTATTAAAGGTTGTCCTGCATACTTACTTTTGATGATTACAACAGACAGATGTATCCTTAGGTGACAACCTACCTTCACCTTTTTTCTGAAATACACCCTTGCAATGTAGCCTCTCCATATCTTCTGTATAATGGTCGCCTTTCTCTGCAGATGTCTGAAGGAGTAACACAATAAGACTGTTTTATTTTACATAATGCAGTGTCCAGTCAGGTTTCATCTGTCCTTAGTTTTACAGCCTGTATCAGGTCTAAAAATGTTACGATGCTACATCACAGAAAAGCTAATTACTGTGTTAATCATCTGACTATAGAGTTATATTCAGACAAAGCACAGTTTTAATGCTACCCTGTTATATATTGTTTTATTCATATCAATGAATTCTTGTTTTAATTCTCGTCAGAAAAATGGAATCCAACCAGTGCGAGCAAACTTTTTGTGGGTTGAACGCTAGTCATACATCACTGTTCTACCATGGCCCTCCAATATTATCCTTACCCCCCCCCCCCCCCCCCCCCCCCCAAAAAAAAAATGAATAAATGATATTCCGTGACTACAGCTGCACTAGCATAACTTTCTGAGTTCATCAATATCACTTTCAGTCCAAAGTCTGCCTCACAATCTGACACTAATGTTCTGGATTGTGGCGCTTCATTTAATCCTTGCAGCAGAAATACTGAATATTTGACTTAAACTATACTTACAACGGAAACGTTGTAACACAAATAACATGGACTGGAACTGTTTTAACCGGTGGTTTGTTTGTTTCTCTGTCGGGTTTCATACTGCACAAATATAAGCAGAAGCCATATTACAGCCATATTACGAATGCCCCGTGTACATGATACAGAAGTTTCATCTAAGTTGCATGTTATCACCTACTTTCAACTTTCGACTAGAAAAGTCGCTAAATGTCGCTAGATGATGCCATTTGCTAATTATCGTATTGATTACGTCATCACGTAGTATTTGCATTTCGCCTGGTGTCAGATGGCGAGTCCTTTTCATGTTTGCTTCTCTCCTACTCACTGTACTCATGTATACAGTACCATATGTGAGTACAGTGAGTACATTACCAGTAAAGCTGTTCTCATTTGCATTTTGTTCTGTTGCTGTTGTCAGCTAAGGTTTGTCCAAAAAGTTGCTAGTTGCCAATTTTTATATAAAAAAAAAACAAACTGGCGACACTGGCTGGACCTTACACATAGCGTACCTGAGATATGATCGCAGCCGGGTTCCGCGGAACCAGCTCTGTATTCGCAGCGCGGCTCTGTCCTCTTTAACTCTACGCTCCTCATCAGCCCTGGAATGTGGCCACATGTAACATTACATAAATCAGCATAAAAGAACAGTTCAGCTATTTTTTGATAAAATCAACTTCGTGTATTCGAAAATGCTGGTGAGAAATATTAAATTACAAAAAAACTTAATCGGTTAAAAACATAAATTACTAGCATAAAATCTGCCAGCTGACAATGTTACCCTGTTTATAAACGTTTATTGAGTTAATCATGTCCGCATTCAAATAGTTTTAACTTAACTCCGGGTGCCTTACGGAAGCTGTGGATCTAAACAAATTTGTTCACAAGACATACTTCGCGAGCATCTAACCGTGATACTTAAAATAAATAAAACATGTTCAGTGCCGTATTGCGTTTTTTATCTTTTAAGAAAGCGATCGGTGACCTGTCCGTGGTGATAAATTCTTCTTTTATCAGTTCGATCTGCAGGAGCAGCAGCTCCAGATCGGCCATGGTTGCGCGAGCGCCCACGTTACCATGACTACAAGAGACGCTAAAAAGTAGTTTACTAAACAGAAAAGGGCAACACATCCGCTAGGGACAGAATTTAATTAAAATAATATATAACTTAAATAGCGACTAAAGTAATGCAACGAGGAGGAATTCGAGCAACTTTATTTGATATAATTTGTCTCGTGTTGTGGTGACCGGACGTTAGCACGTGGTCTCATGACAAAGAATAGGCCTACCTATAAATATATATCTATTTTTCTTAACGTATTTACTGTACAGCACTTTGGTCCTGCGCTGGTTGTTTAAAGTGCTTTATAAATAAGGTTGGATTGGATTGGATTTATCGCAGGAATGTGTCGCTGAATTTCTAATCGTAGCAGTCCGTTTGTTCGCTGATCGAAAGATCCTTAAATATAACCGTTAGATTCCAGAAAAAGCCACGAATGAGTTTGTGGTTTGCTAGTTAGGGGAATTTGATAGCTAATATGCACATATCCATCCATCCATCCATCCATCCATCCAATTTCTGTACCCGATCGTGTGCATGTATTATTATTATTATTACTATGAATAATAATTATAATAATAATAATAATAATAACAACAACAACAATAATAATACAATTTAAATTTGATAATCATTTTATTTTTTCAGGCTTTTCGTGAATCCGCAGAACTGTATTGTGAAAGTTGTTAAAGTTCAGATAACAACAGATGACAAGAAATTGTCGTACTTTTCAGACTTTTCTACACTCTTTACAAACTTCTCTTAATGAGTCAATGTAGCCCCAGCAACTTTGTATTGCAGAAATCCATTGGTGACGTTTGGCAATTCCAAAGGCTGTCAGATTGTAGGATGCAGATTGTCCGCCAGACGATTGATTTGTCACCACATGTCACTTCTGAGTTGACAACACTGTGGACATTATCATCCCTCATCAGAAAGTTATCAGTTAATTTTTATTTCCTTTTCTCCCCCTTTTGCCCATCAAATATTCCGCCTGAGCATGTGAACTGGCCACAGGGTGCCTGCAGCACTGATAACCGCTGACAGGTCGGCGCCAATTTGCTCCCCTGCAGCTACTGCGTTAGCCAGCAAAAATATGGATGAAAGGGTGACCCCTTGGTTGCAGACTCCATCCATCCGGCCCAGGTAGCGGGCCGGCGACCATGGTAATTGCCTGGGAAGTAGTGTTTTGACAAGGCGGATGGGTGTAAGTCATCATTCCCGCAGCACGGCGGAGGGGCTGTGGTGAGGAAGCCAGCAGGTGACCCACTTCTGCCCTGATTTAGGGCCTGCTGGGCTGCATGGGTTTGGTCGCTTATAATAAACAAATATTTCCCTGTAAACTCTAAACTTTTAATGTTGTATGTTAATCCAGCAAGAAAGAATCCAGCAAGATTTCTTAAAAGAAATATAATACTCAGTCACACAGTAAGTTGCCACAGATAAGATGCATATAAAGATCAGCCAGATAAAATTGTAGCATTAATAATACTAATAATAATAATAATACAGAGAAAATGAACAAAAATGCCACTGATTTAAAGTTGGTCCCTTTTGTTTTGACAGTCAAGGCTACCTGCCACTGTACATATGTTTCCAAATATGGCAGGATAATTTATCTGACAGCCACAAATATGTAAATTGCACGTTGGAATTTAAAATCACCCACGTGTCATCCTGTTTCTCAAACAAGGTGTGTGCCATACTTCAGCATCAGTCTCTTAAAAACTAATCCCATGTAAGAATAAAAATCACCTCAGCCCCGGAAACACATAATTGAAATCCATAATAATTTTTCTTCTGCTGTTTTTTTTCATTATGTCTCATGGTTTTGTATTTTATCCCAAACTCCCCGTTTTCTTTTGTCAGTTTCCCATAATGAATAGAGATCGGGGTCAAGAAAAATCATATTTTTATTAGCCCACCTATAATCAAGAAATGGGGTAATAAGCATTGTGTTAAATTGTTAAATCTGGGGGTGTTCTATCATTATTTGCAGTGCATTGTGGGGAGACAGTAGTAATCCATTAGATGTGATGTTTCAGGGCCCGGTGAACTTTCTGCATCTGTTCCCCAAGTATAAGGACATTCCATGCTGCCGGCTTCACTGTCACAATGGGAGATGCATCACCTATGTGCTCCACCTTATTGTTTCATTATTACCCACCCCCACCCCCCATTTTTTGCCATTCGTCAGCATGCGACCATGTCTGCCACGCAGGGTAACTCCCTTCTCCGCCCTTCTTTACTGCTCGCTGTGCCTGTTCACCGGAGTATTGCATGCAGTCAGACGGACACTGCTAGACAGATATCTGAAGGCCTGGCCAGTAGCTTGTATTCATTTTCCTTGTGAGACATGCGTAGTCAAAACAACATGCAGAGTTTGGAGTCATGCCAGTAGGCTGGGTGCAGTGGGACTCGGGAAGTGTACAGGTAGCAATAAACATAGACAGAGACACAATGAAATCAATCAAAAAGTAAAAACTTGCGTTATTAATTAAACATCAGGCATAGCATGGTGGAATACACTGGGCTGAAGAATAATGAGTATTAATTGGACAATTAAGATACACAATTCGCTATTAGAGAAAGTATTTTTCACTCCTTGCCTGTGTGTGAAGTTTACAGGTTCTCGCCTCTTTCTATGGTTTCTCCCAGGTTCCGCCCACAGTCCAAAGGTATGCAGGTAGGGGAAGCAGCATCTGCAAATTGCTCATAGCATGACTGTGTAGGTGGGACGGTGTGTGTGGGACTGGCATCCCATCCAGGCTGTATTCCAGCCTTGTGCCCCCTGTTACTGGGTAGCCTTCCCACACACCGTGACCCTGTGCTGAAGAGGTAGCTGGAAGATGGATGGACGTATTTATTTCCATTTTTCTTAGCATGCCTCCTTAATTTCTAGAAATGTCTGCCTCTCTCTACTTGCAAATTTCCCCTCTCCTGCCCCCCCCCCCCAAACACACACACACACACAC